CTTGGATAGTTGTATAATTTTTGTACTAAGACACTCTAAAACTATATAAAAACAAAATGAAAAATATCCGATAAGTCCCGAAAATTTTGGAATCGATAAAAATGATGAGTTTCTTTCGTATTTGATGTAAATGTCACTGAAAGAACATTTCCTCTCCTCTACAATCATTTTCCAAAAGAGATATTTAATATCTTTAAAAGGATAAACAATAGCAGAACATTTTTAAATACAGTTAAATATATTGAGGACATTTTACTACTTAACAAAAGCAATTTTCATTCATATCTAGACTCGATACTTCCCAGTGAACTCGAAATAATAGACTAAACAGAATCTTCAACATCAGTTTCATATTATGCCCAGGGATCGAAAGATCCCGGGGGTATATCATTTTGTCCTGTCTGTCTGTTTGTCTGTTTGTCTGTCAGTTTAACTGTTTGTCTGTCTGTTATCAACTTTAACCTAGCCCATAACTATTGCGCTGTCAATGATAAGGCTTTAATATTTGACATGAGTGTTCATTATGACAAGACCTTTCCATTGGAACAGAAATTTTGATCATGTGACCTCAACTGTGACCATTGACCTACATTTAAAAAACTTTAACATAGGCAATAACTATTGCACTGTAGTCTACGTCCCACTGCAGAATTGTATTACCATCGGGGGCATAGTGTTTCACAAACACATCTTGTTTTGATATATGTTTTACTAGCTATAGATGACACATGTCATGGCAAACATGCATGAAACTACCGTATTAGTGGAATTTTTTAGCGAGACATAAATTTAGAGATTGATCCCCCCCCAAAAAAAATGGTATATATTTTTAGCGAGAAGTAATTTTAGCGATTTTATAATGTTAAGAAAAATAGATATAACAACTGGTACGGTATAAATTGTTCGTGATATTCAATTTTAGCGATCTAAAAAACCTTGCTTATAATGCTAAAATTGAATCCTCGCTAAAAAAAAAAAATTCTTCTTATACTCCATTCAGTATGGTTAATGGGATGGATTCAGCTTTTCCATCGTCAACTTTCTTTGCTTATGTAGCAATATTCCAACATCCTATGCATGTGGTAATTATGTTGTTACAACTGTGATTCTATATGTATGAAATAACTCTGAAAACGATCCAAATTTAATAAGTTAAAGTTACAAAATAAATTATTGATTATTGTTTTCTTACATCGAGTCGACAATATGTCAGCTATATTTCGGCGGACAAAGTTTTTTAAAAAATTCGCTTTTAATACCCCCACTGAAAGTAATTTTTTTCTCAAATGCCATTATCGTTATAATGAGCCCTCCTCCAAGCATCCTTTAGGATGTAAAGGATGAGGGCCATTCTATGTAATGAGCCTGAGGCTCAAAAAGGGTATCATATAGCATTTTCCTTCGAGCCAGCGAAGCGAACCTCATTTCTAAAGAAGTTAAAAATACCTGTATGACGTATGTATTACCTGAGTACCTGTAGTATATAAGGCACAACTCCACGTGCCAAACCATTTTTTAACGAAATGTTTGTGACAACTCCACAGATAACTTGGGTGGGAATGTATTATGGGATGGGTATATGATACCCTTTTTGAGCCTCAAGCTCATTACATAGAATGGCCCTCATCCTTTACATCCTAAAGGATGCTTGGAGGAGGGCTCATTCTATTACATATCGCCTTTCGGCTCTGCAAAGGGTATCATATAGCATGTTTAAAGTGTTGATCACAAACATCAATATCTCAGTGCAATCAGTAACATAAATATATTTTAGTAAAATCATTTATCGTTGTTGAATTTTTTAAAATCGATTTCATAATATTAAGCTCACTGAATTATATTAAAGTCATACTCTTGTATCAATTTGACCAAATTCAATTTATAACCAACAATGTCAAATTCAACAATGTTAAATTTCACGATTAACTCTGGTTGACTACCAGCAAAGGTACTGAAATACTGTTGTATAAAACTATTGTTTCAAATTCTCAGCCTTCTCATTTTAATATACAAAAGACTTTGGAAATAAAGAGAGAATCATCTTTTCAAATTTAATAAAGACAAAGAAAACATCTTACATATACAACACAATAATCAAAATCATCATTCAGGAAATATAAGTATTAAATCAACAAATTATAATATCCTTCATCTCACACCAAGGCTCATTATTCTGACAAAATTAAATTTATCTATTTAATATTGCAGTTGCAAATTGTCCATTCCTCGAATCATCCACATTAAGTTCTTTAAAATAAAACTTGAAAAACGTCTTTGAAGAAGTCCAGTTTGCTGTCTCTAACAAGTCCTTCATAGATACTCCTGAGAGATAGGCGGCAGAAGCAGACGCTCCACGAAAAGAATGCGCTGTAAAGTTCTCAATGCCGGAGAGCTCCAAAACTGTCCTGAGCCATCTAGCTAAAGTACAGGTTGTCACGGGAAAAAAGGTTTTATACGAAACAAATAAATTTGAAGATTTTCTGTAGTCTTTTGTCCTCTTCAAGTACTCTTTCAATGTGGAATAAACACAAATGCTCTTGTCAGAATATTTAAACAATGTTACTTTATGTACAGGACTACCTGGTTTACAAGTTTTTAGCAATTTTTTGATAATAAAAACAACTTTATCACTAAACATTTCCATATTTTGTAAATCTAAAGCCAATAAAGTTTGTGCTCTAGAAGCTGTAGTGAGTGCAATAAGGGCTATTAACTTAAGAGTCAACATACGTAAACTAACCTTACTTAGAGGCATTAAAGTGCGCAAAAATTTTAAAACTTTTGAAACATCCCAAGTAAGTTTTACTTTTGGTCTGGAGGGGTTAATATTAAAATAACCTTTCATTAGTTTTGGTATCAATAATGAGGTTTTTATCCATTGAATACCGAAAAAAGGCAAGGTATTTACTAACATAGATTTCTGAGTATTTATTACAGAATAGGAAAGTTTTAACTTCATTAAAGATGTCAGATATGCTATAACATTTACTTCAGACGGTTTATAGGGATTAATACCCCGTTTATAACACCAAAATATCCATCTTTTCCAACAGCACTGATACTGTTTGTTTGTTGCTCCCCGTAAAGATGCTGTAATGATTTGCGCATCCAAGTTCGAAAGTCCTGAATTCTGGAGTGCTCGCCTGATACAATGCAAGCGATTAACTTCATTTTCCGAAGGGGATGTACCTCGCCTGTATGTGTCATTATCAATAAGTCCTTGTGCCGGGGTAGCCTGATTGGAATAGAAACAAGAGCAGACATTACTAGCGGAAACCATATTTGTGTTTTCCACAATGGAATTATGATAATGGCTTCTTTGACACAGTCATCAAAAATTTTATTCATAATTTTACCAATCAATTTGAAAGGTGGAAAAATATAAGGACGAAAAAATGACCATGACATTGTGAAAGCATCAACGTGATAAGCTTCTGGATCAAAATTCCATGATACAAATACATTCAACTGTTTATTTAACCTTGAAGCAAATAAATCTATATCTGGTTTAAAAAACTGATCACAAATTCTCTCAAATATTTCTGATTTTAGCATCCATTCAGTTGAATCTGAAAATTTTCTAGATAATGAATCGGCATAAACATTTTCAATGCCTGGAATATATTGTGCAGAAATTAGTAACTTTCTTTCAAAACACCAGTTCCACACTTCAACTGTTAATTTGTCAAGTTGCTTAGATTGCATACCACCCATTGCATTAATATATGAAACAACTGTTGTATTATCAGTTTTGAAACAGATATGTTTTGTATAAAACTTCTTGAAAAAAGATTTTAATGCAAAAAATATTGCAAGAAGTTCCAAAACATTAATATGGAATTTTGCTTCTTCACATGTCCATCTGCCTCCTGTCATTTTATCTTGAAATCTTGCACCCCATCCTTTTAATGATGCATCTGTTTCAACCCAAAAATCAACAGGATTGGGTTTAATTGGTTTACCATTCAGACCCCTAAGATTTATATACCACCAATCTATTTCGTTAAGACTAATGTCAGAACAAACCATATAAGAATCATAATTGTCATTATTCAATTTTAAGTTCTTATCTTTATCCCTTTCTAAATTTCTGTAATGCAACGGACCTTGCATAATAGCATTACAAGCATGTATTAACAAACCAATCAAGGATGAAAATTTTCGAATTTTACAAAGTTTTGTTGATCTTATATCTTCACAGCAATTTAAAATTTTTTGTATCTTTTCCTCTGTTTAGTAAATTTTATATTCAACGGTATCAATTATAATTCCAAAGAAAACAATTCTTTGTGTTGGAATAGTAACTGATTTCTTGGTATTCACAGTAAACCCAAGATTATGTAACTCTGAAGTCACCAAATTTGTTTGGTTTAAACAATGAGAATAATTTTGATTCATAATCAGGGAGTCATCGATGTAATAACAGCATGTAATTCCATTCTCTCTGAATACAGCATATATGGGTTTAAGAACCTTTGTAAATATTCGTGGACATGATGATAATCCAAATGGTAGTACTACAAATCTATAAAATTTTCCTTTCCATTCGAATGTCAAAAACTTTCTGTAATCTGAATGTATACTTATGCTAAAATATGCATCTTTTAGATCAATGGAAGTCAAAAAATCATCTTTTTTGATTAATTCTAAAGCATAAGACAAATTTTCTTGCTTAAAATGATGATACTCAATGTATTCATTAAGATTCCTCAAATTGATAATTGGTCGTAAACTTCCATCCTTTTTTGGTACTAGAAAAATATTAGAAAAATAAGCATCTCCTACATCAAAAACTTCCTCAATAGCACCTTTTTCTTTAAGATTTCCTACTTCCTTAGAAACCAGATCTTCTTCTTCCTTATTAAATTTAATTTGTTTTGGCATTGATGTTTGTAAAGGAATCTCCATAAACTCAATTTTATATCCAGCATAAATTATATCTAAAATCCATTGGTCATCTGTAAATTTTTTCCAGTATTCATAATTAAGTTTCCTTACCTTTACTTGTAGTACTTTTTTGTTGTGCTCATGTACTGTTTCTGACCTCGTCCCCTCTGAGAACTGTTCATGGTCATGAATCTTGACCTGCGTCTGCCTCTGTATGCATTGTTGTATCTTTGCATTGGGCTGGAGTAGTTCTGATTGCTGTAGTTTTTTGTAAACAGCAAGCTATTTTTGGGTTTTGAATCCCAGAATGTGGATTTTATACCAATAGGGTGTTTATTTATGTCCCCCATTTCTTTCAATTTTGTCATACAACTGTCACCAAAAAGTTGATCAGTAACTGGTATTTCAGCTGAAACAATTTTCTTATACCTTGGAGTCAGACATGATTTGATTTCATTTCTGCGTTTCATAGATAAATTGTAAAAACTGTTTCCTAGCATACTAATGGCATCACCAAGCATCTTTTTGCTTTTAACTGATTCTGTATCTTGTTTACTGATCAAAGATTCTGCCATCTGAACAAGAGGAATCAAACCTGTTGCAATAGATTTCTGAATTATCTGTAAGTTTAAATCAACTGCATGGGCATTTTTCCCCATAACATCCCAGATCTCTTTATTAACACGAGGAACTTTGAGATTGCAATTTTCTGGACGTGCATATTGTTTTTCTAACTCAGTCATAGCTTCTTTGTTGGACTTAACAGATATTGCTGCATTTATAGCTTTTGGCAACCCATCATTAACTTTAGGACCTGTTTTTTCTGCAGAATTTAATTGAGGAATATCCCACAAATCATTGTCCTCTTTAAGATCATTATCTATTGTTATTTGCAAACCTTTATTGTCAAAAACATCTTTGAAAGCATCGTTAGGATTGATACCTGAGATTGAAGGTGAGGGCTCTGGGTTGTCTAAATAACTCAGATCAAAATCAAACTCATTTGGCCCGTCATAACCATTGTAATCTACACTATTTTGATCATAATCTGCAACAAACACAAACTGTTTTACAGGATTGCTACTTTTATTGTATAAATCTGCCTGTGTTACAGTGCAAGACGGAATTTGTTTGCTATTGCTGACATTGTGTCCCATAGACTCCGTAACATTATTATGACAAGAACTGCGCGCCGTATTTTCGGCCATTTGACTTGTCAATATAGAAATAGACTCAACTATTTTATCAATCCCCAACTGAGTTTTCAAATCATTGAAATTAATGTCATGAACTATTTGAGGGTTTGTATCTGTGCTTACCTGTTTCCTAGATTTCTTTGTTTTTGCACGTGTTTTATCTAATGAACCAGGGGTCTGCGTTTTACGCTTCACCCCCTAGTAGGTTTCTTGTCATCTGTATTACAGACTGTGACATTAGAAGCCGAACTTCTAGTGGCAACTTTGTTACCAAATAATTCTTCAATATCTGAAAATCTCTCAGTATCACTGTCTCTATGAGACAACATGTCCTCGTTATCGGACGCCATTTCCAAAAACACGACAAAGAAAATTTCAACCCAACTTACCTTATAAAAACAGCAGTTTAAAAACATATATATATATATAGCTGTTTTACAGCTTAAACCCCCCCCCCCCAAACAAACTTGAACAACGTTCTAAGTTAAACCAATCTTTAATAATCGAACATCTGTGTTACAGGTGACTACGTGTCGCTCGCTCAAAGAAAAAGAATGGTTTGGCACGTGGAGTTGTGCCTTATATACTACAGGTACTCAGGTAATACATACGTCATACAGGTATTTTTAACTTCTTTAGAAATGAGGTTCGCTTCGCTGGCTCGAAGGAAAATGCTATATGATACCCTTTGCAGAGCCGAAAGGCGATATGTAATAGAATGTTCTGTAAATACAAAAATCGTTGAAAAGTATTTTGTTTGAAAATGTTTCATACCTTTGTTAGGACATTCCTTATATACACTAAATTTGATTACGGTGTGCTCTGTCTATTTAATCATTACATAGGGCTCATGGCGCGTGTGTCTGGTCGAAGGGGAATACTAACTCCAACTTGGCACCTGATCCCACTCCTTGTGTTTCCAGTGGTCCGTGATTTTCCTTTTTTCTGAATCTTTTTTTTTAGTTGATTTATGATAATGATCATTGTTTGTTACTTTTATCTTTTACATGGTGAAAATTGGATTAATATTTCTTTAACTTTTGAGCAAATAATTTGCTAAAATAATGGATTACTTTGAAAACATGTTCATAAAATTGATGTTAAATATGTGCATGTAAGAGGATAAACTTTTGCTATTTGACCTTACTAACAAAAGAACTGAATATATTACCCCCAAAATCCAATTATTGCTTGCATTGTTGCACTGAAAGACAAATACTTGTGTACAAGAACTAAGATATGTTATTTGTACTACCTTCCCCTTGTTCCATTTCATTTCGTCCATTTGTTGTGTTTTGGTAGAAACGTATGTCATCTTGAAAGAAATAAAAAACATAATTTATTCATACACCTGTTTTGTGCTTATTTATTTAAATTTAAATAGAATCATAGTACAATTATGCAGGAAAACACAAGAAAAAAATATATAAATCTTGCCGAAATAAAGATTTCTTTTATATCTGATAAGGAAATTGTGAATAAAAAAAGATATTAGAGTATTGTAAATAGTGAATTTTAATGTCTATTTGATATTTTTTTTTTTACTTTTACTAAAGGGGGAGGGTCCTCATAGGCTTTATGTTCCACTTTGAATTTGCTGTATTTTTGCTAAACAGTCGACTGTTCATTTATTGAGGGGTGGGGTGGGGAGTCTGTTCTCTATAATCTCGATATTTTACTTTCCATTGATTGAATGAGCTAGGTTCACTTTATCCATAAATGACCCTGTTCATATACATGTACCAAAGCTGACCAAGACCCAATATCCCATTTCAAACATCAATATAAAGAAGAGACTTAGTGCTTTCATTTCCTATAAATTTCCTGTAAGAGTCAAGGTTTTGGAAAACAGGCTTTGTGAAATTGCATTGTTCTTGGTTTTTAAAGAAAATGAGTGTATTTGAACAATTTCAGCAAAGAATAAAAATATAGCCCACACCTCAATCCAAAAAATAAACCATAGATTATAATCTTCTTAAACAGTTTTTTTTTTTTTTTTTCAACATATGATTGACAATTTTGGACCAAAAGTTCGGGTCTATGGAAAATATTGAAAAGAAATTTAAATTGTAAGCCATTTTTGAAGATTGAAAAAATGTTTAAGATATGAGGATAATGAGTAATTCATGATGTCATAATACATAGAGAAGCAAGAAAATTATGTCATTTTAATAAATATGCAGTCATCAAGGGTCCAAGTGATTTTTTTTTTTTTTTTTTTTTTTTTTTTTTTTTTTTTTTTTTTTGTATTTACAACAAAAACTTAGCAGTTTTGATTTTTCAAAAATTCACAGGGCCAAAAAAGGCCTTTAGTGAACCTTGTTCTTGGAGAGTAGGCGCATTCACTTCCTTACATTGTCTTACTGTATTATAAGATTTTTTCATTAACCAAAAGGATGCTAAAGATTATTGTGAAAATATCTCCCCTGCCACTAAGAATTGTAAATCATTTACTTAAATAGTCATTCTCCTTACAAAATTAATAATGAAATATAGAAACATTGAATTAAAGAAAAGATCTTAACAATTATTTTTACGATATGCAAGTGTCAGCAAAGTCAAAATGTGCACATACATCAAAATACTTTCTTTCGTATTTGATGAAAATGTAAATGAAGTTTTATAGAAAAAAAAGATTTCTGTTGGCTTCGTTTAGTATTTTTCAAATCAAAATCAAGTGATTTGTTTTTTGTTCAAATGTGAAAATACCAAAACTATATATATTTTGGCAGTTCAAAAAAATTCATAATTGGAATACCAGGCAATACGTTGCAAACAAAGAAAGAGCTGTGTGTGATTGAAATGCCCGGGGTGCTATCAAATAACTATTTATTCGGCTGTATCAGGGTTTTTCTTTCAGATAGAATTCAGTTGTTTGATAATGTACATAACCGTACGTGCGCAATTTTTCCTTGCCTTGCATATTTCATCAGTGATATACATCATATAATTGAAATGCCAGTCGATGCTACGCAAATAAGGAACATTTGAATTGACAAATCTAAACCTGTCTTTTATCCATAATATCTGCTGGGATAAGCTTTTTAAATTCATTCTGCAAATCCATTCATGAAACACTTGCGAACATTTTGAGAATATGGTACTGTGAAGATAAATCTCAGTAACGCAGCACGGTTAAGACTGCAATAAGGAGGCGGGACCTAATTTTTACGAGAAATGCTTACTATGACATCACACAAAAATATATGTCCTTCAAATTTCCACAAAATGAAATGATTTGCTATTTTAAACTGTTGGATAGCTTTAAACTACATCAATACTTACTATTGCATGTATTTTGTCGTTGGTTAAATCCCACACATATCATGTTTCTTTGGATATTAGTGAATTAAAAAAATGACCACCAAACTGAATTATTTTTGAAAATTCAACTACTTATAAATATTTTTCACTTATTTCATCATATTGCACATACATTCTAGTTTAAAATCCTGAAGTGGCAATAGAATAGACAATTGGATTAAAAAGTTTTTATTAGTAAAGTTTCTTTTCAAAAAAGAAAATACCATTACACCTTAAAAGACTTTCTAAAAAACGTAATCACAAGAAATTAGTTTTTTATTCTTCAAAATCGTAAAAGGGGTATAAATGATTAATTTAGACCTTGATTGAGTATCCTCTCGTGTATATGGGACAAAAAAATGGCTTTTTGATTGTTATTTTACATTTTTTTTTTCAATTCTGGTTTGAAAAGTTTTAATATGAAAAAAATCTGAAGCAATAAAATTCCCCAAAATTCACTTGTCCCTTGAAGTCAATTCTTTAAATCTAAGCCAAAAAAGAATTTTTATATTCTCTTACAAAAAATACTAGATTTTTAAGTGACCCTATGTTACATTATTGTGTTGCACTCCTGACATCTGACATGTATTTTATTTAACATTGTTTTAAAAAGCATAACACACAATAACCCATTTTTACTTTGTAAATCAATTTGTCGTTTTGATATTTTTCATCGTTTACGGCAGGTTTACGGCAGGTTTTTCATATTTTGAAGACCTTAAAACATGATAATTTTGAAAAGTTTAATATATTTAAGATGTATTTAAAAATAAATGTGAAATGATGAAAACTATTCCTTGAATTGACTGTAAAATTTCTGTAATTTGTTGATAGACATGGTGTTTTGAACATCAAATAGTATCAAACATTTTTTTAAACTTATTTTTCAGTAAAGATAGTTAAAAGGCAATGGTAATTATCAAGCAGTTTGTTACACTCCTGACTGCAGTAAAATTTAAAATTAGAACCAAAGAACATAAAAATTCATAAAATGCTGGCAACATCAAGTGGTAATGAAATTGTGCAATATTTATAGTCCAATACTTCATAATTAAAACAGATGAAAGTATTTAAACTTCGCATTTTATCTGGAATTATTCCTATGCAAAAAAACCTAGCTTAAATGCATATTTAGGAGATAAAATATATTTAATAGCATATTTTTCTTTAGAGGACAAACACAGTAACACACCAGAAAAATTCTACTCATCATTTTGTTCTTTATTTTTATTCTTATTGGATGATTTATCATTCTAACATATTTGTTGCACTCCTGACCAAAAGCATTGGTGCTTTTAAAGTAGAATTGTGAAGTGAAAATTACATAAGAACTTGTTCTGTTGTTTCAGTGAAGCTGAGGAGAAATTACTTGAATTTTATGACAATTTTTTAGTGTGTTTATTTTTAACATTCATTAAAAAAATCACAAAAAGATAAGAACACATCTGAATGGATAAAATTGAAAAAGGAAGGACTTTAATAATAAAACTGTCAATAGTTTAGTATTAAATTATACAAAAAGGTCATTATTAATTAATATCTTCTTTTTTTTCTAAAATAAAAATCAGCAAATCATATAAGGATAATAGTTTTTTCATGCTCGGTAGCAAAACATCTAATGTTGCACTCCTGACATAATTGGGTATGCACATATACTTGAATCTCAATAATGCTGCTTGTGATTTATAAAACATTTTTATTTTTTAATATGTATTTCAGCTATTGTTTTCTTTTTTGTCTTAATTTTCTTTCAGAATTTTACAATTGATGTTTTTTTGACAACACTACATTTTTCTCTCTTGCACTTCTGACATGGTATAACATTTTTTAAGCATCAGCCATAACCACAACTTGATTAAACAAAAGTTACTACAGTCCACATTTAAAGCTCAATACTTTGAATATTATCAGGTCTTTATTTTCAACATAAAGCATTATTATTTTTTTCACAGATCTCCAAAAAATATTGAAATTTCAAAATGTCACAAAAAGGGTGTTGCACTCCTGACAATTTACGCATCATTTTGGGCATAACCTTCTTGTTAATTGAGATATCAACGAGATATTGGCAGGTATTTAAGCACTATCTAAAAACATATACAGAGACATAGAAATCTATTTTCATTGCCTGTATTTTTACTGTGGGTTGATAAATATGTGTTGGTAATTTTTGTTTTCGAAATCACCCACATACGAAAAGATTGACGATATAAACATGAACTTAGATTACCTTCCTGGTGTTCAGGGACACTTCTTTCATTTGTTGTGTCATCTTCCTGAATTTGTTCATCTACAGAGTTTGAACGTTGTTTAAAACATGATTCATTTAAAATGCATCTTGGTTTATTTCAAGGCAAAACTGTTAATGAAAATATGACATGAAATAAAATGTATGGAACACTTACCAATTCCTATATTGACACAAATATTTTTTCGATTTCGGAAAATAATGCAGCCAATGAGTGTCGCAAAGAGTATTCCAACAAATATCCCCATTGCAGTTTCCCTATAAATAAACACAGAAGTATGGAGACATGTAATATGTTTTTGGAAAAAAAGCTAAATTTAGAGACAAGATATATTTCATTTTCCTTAACTTTAAGAAGTAACCTGTGTTCTTCACAAGCTTTGAACAGTTTAAAGATATTAACACCACAGAACCACATTAACGGACACATGCACATTCATCGATTCAACGAAAGTTTGCAATCTATTTTCTTATAAACCCAAAAACAAGACTGAAAAATTTTACATACCCAATTACTAAATAAGTAATCTTTTCTGAATGGTTCTCCGTGGTTTTTACATCAACTCCATAACACCCCTGATCTGTAGAATGCAAATAACGTCAGGACATTTTTTTTAATGTTATACCCAACATTTTTACTTTATTTATGATATTGTTCCAAATAACAATTTAAAACAAGGAAAATTATTATTTGTAACAGATTTTAAGACACCTTTTCTCTGAGTTGAAAATACCTTGGTACATTTTACCTTACAAATTGCATTTTATTTATCAATATGCTATTCCTGTGCATCTACCATGTTTCAAAGTAAGATATGTTATTTTAAATCCAATATACATGTAATACATTTGTATGCATCTGTGGACAAGTATCGAGTTGGGCAAGGGATATCAAATGATGTGCAGTCTTTAGCATAGTGATCTTGTATCAGTAAGCCTTCCTCGTTAAATTCTGTGCAGAATCCTAAATTAGAACAAATATATTAAAGGTATGGATCCTCTTTTTCTTAAAATATATATATATATATTCTTTTTAACAATAAAGAATCTTAATGTAAAATGATTTTATCAATAATAAGGAAACAACTGACTAGAAGCATAAAACAGAGAGACACCAAATACAAGAAAAGATAAACCTGAAAAAAATAAAAATGAAGACAACGTTATAGAAGTTTTAAAAAAAAATGCTATAATTTTGTTCCTTTCTTTACATTGATTGAAATGTCCATGTCTGATTTTTTTTAGTCCTTTGTGTGATATAAGCGACATACAGCTCTGAAAAGGTAGCTTAGTATTAATCTCTGCCTAATTATTAAATGTATAAGAATAAAAGAATGATTTGTTCTATCTATTAGAAAAATATCAAAGTTTCCTTTATTGTTTATTTACCTGAAATGTACCACGTTGGTGCGCAAACATCTAATGTTGCATTTCCAAAGCTATTGATAACACAGTGATACTTGAATTTTTCCTTTGATATGCAGTTCTGTTTGATATTGTCACAACCTTTAATTTTTTCAGCATTTATCCATTCTTCTCTAGTTTTTGGACAATGTTTGATGTAATTAATTGTAGGAAGCGAGGCCAAACATTTCCGACCACGAACTTCAGATATCTAAAATTCAAAATCATATATAAAGCACAATATTATAAAGCTCGCTAGAAAAGTGTCATAATTTTTATTTCAATACTCAGTGATATTTATTTTAAATAGACTAACCACTTGGACTAAGTAAATTAAACCAAGTTCACCAAGAAACAAAATCATTGTTCTATTCACTGAATAATCGTTGATTGCTCGATCTGTAAGGTAAATGTACATGAAGTGTAATTAGTCACACTGCATTTTATACATAAAGTATGCCACGTAATACCGTACTATAGAACTTCAATAGTTTTATTTATAGATAAGGGTGTAAAACTTGGAAATTCCCTCACGCCAATTTCCTATTGAGATAAATGATTTATACAAATCGAAGATAAATGCTTTTATCAAAAATAAAGAAAAAATCTTTTTTCACGTTCATATCCTTATTAATTAATCCACATTCAATAACAAACAAAAAATCTCTCAAAAGCAAAGAAGAATAAAAGATAAAATTTTAAGTCTCACCTTCTGATTTGAATATATGTGAGGGCGTCATTTACAAGAACAGGCGGGGAATGAAACTAGGTCAAATGTTTACGTTTAAAAGGATTTCATCAGGTAAAAATTTTATGACTTATAAGGTGGAAATTTTCCATGACATATGCTCATGTTGTTCTCTGCATTGCATAATAATTTCAAGGTTATGGATACTTGTATGTTTTTTTTTTTAAAAATCAAAATTGCAGTATTTTTAAATAATAAACATTTTATAACATTATGATTTTAAAATATGAGAAAAACTCGAATTTTACAATTTTAAGTATCCCGATTTTAATCTATCAGATTTTTTTTTTAAATAAAAAGATCTTAGAGAATTGTCTATGTATTAACATTCCTTACTATTATATTTTATGGTACCCATGGATATTTTCTTGCCTGCTATTAATGTCATTGGAAGCGTTTTCAAACGCTAGCGCTAGCAGCACCGTCACTTATTTTTTTACCAGTACTGGATATATATAAGGCTTGCTCAAATTCGGTTAGGCATTATGGGAAGAGATACAATGTCAGTTTCGTATAATATTATATATGAAAAAAAATATATTGACCGACAGAAGTTTCATGTCTTGTCGTCTATCTAGTGGGGTCCTTCGGATGAGACCTTAAAAACCGAGGCCCCGTGTCACGGCAGGCGTTGGCACGATAAAGATCCCTCACTGCTCAATGGCCCTGAGTGCCGAGTAAAGGTCAAAATTTGAAGCCCTTCACCGGTATAAGGTGACGTCTCTATATGAGTGAAAAATTCTCCAATGGGACGTAAAACAACATACAATCAATCATCATCTATCTAGTGCAATAAGTATCATTCAGTAACGTGGAACTTCTATGACAAAGCTGCTTGGATCAGTTATTTCACGAACTGATAATAAAAACTTTTCTTAACTACCTTCTCCGGCCTTTCCGACAAGCTCGAAAGTTGTAGGTAAGCGACAATGACAACCATTCTTGAAACATAGAAATAAATGTAAGGAACCCTTTATCATTAGAATTTGGAGCTAAACTTGATTGAATGTAACACTACGATATCACCCAAAATTTATTACAGTCAAAGGAGACAATCAACTCTGCATAAACAACACTTTAACTGATGACTCCATTTTGTATATTTGTACATTTTCTCCATTTTCGCTCACCTCAGGTTGGGGGAGCTTGTGTGATACCTTCTGTGTCGGCGTCCCAGGTTTAAGTTTTTAGCAGATTTCTTCTTAAGTACTTCTATGCTCTACATTAATCAGAGATGCTTCTAGTCTGTTTCATTGTGCCAGTCTAGGTTTCAGATGCCGCAATTTCAGCAAAAGAGTGACCAGGTTAATGTTTTTGGAGCCAGTTAAAGTAGGTCTAATTTCCAAGTAACTAGAAACCCTGTATTGACCATACTTGCATGGATGATACATCTTAGGATGTACACTACCAGGCTTGCTTCGGATGTTAAACCTTACCTACATTTTCCGGATTAGTGACGAGGCTAATGTTTTTGGAGCTGGTTCATTCTAAAATAACTATAAACCCTATGTTGTTCAAATTTGTATGGATGATACATGTACAACAAAGGATGCACACTACCGCGATTGGTTCGGATCCTGGATCTGACCTTCATTTTCCGGATGAGTACCAGATTAAAGATTTTGGAGAACGTCTCATTTCCAAGTAACTTTAAGACCTATACTGACCTATATTGGCCATAATTGCATTATACAGCTAAGGATCTACACTACTGGGCTTGCTTTGGATGCTAGATCTGACCTATATTTTCGGATGAGTGACCAGGTTAATTTGTTTTGTATATTGACCATACTTGAATGAAAGAAATTGTATCTAAGGATGCATACACCAGGCTTGCTTCGGATGCTAAATCTGACCTACATTTTCCAATTTTCCAGATGAGTGACTAGAAGCAGGGTCAATCAATGTTGCTATATGCCTTACCTGGACCAAACTTGTATCGTCAATACATCTAAGGATGCACACTACTGGACTTGCTTCTGATGCTGAAATTTGGCCAGCCCTACATTTTCCAGATGAGTGACCCGGTTAAAGTTTTTTGATCAGTTTCTTTCTAAAGTGACCGTAAGCCTTATGCTAAACAGCTTTTCACTGATGATACTTTTATTGATGTACACTACAAGAGTTGCTTGATGTGCTGGATTTGACCTACATTTTGGAACAGATCAATTTCCAAGAAACTATAAGACCTATCTGGACCAATCTTGCATGTGAAATATATGGAGATAACGAACAGTATTCAAGATCAAAAGTCCATTAAACAATACAAAATTGGAGCAGAGCAAACACGGACCTCTAAACATCAGAAGTGGGATCAGGTGCCATGGAGGAGTGAGCATCCCCTGCCGACCGGTCACACCCGCCGTGTGCTCCTTGTTATGATCGGGAAATAACGGAAAAATCCGTCGACAATTCAGTGTGTAAATAATGGCCTAACAATAAGTATGAAAAACGTCAGTCAGCATTTGACTCAATGATAAATTGTATTTGCTGACAAGGTCATTGTATAGACCATAGAACTTACGAAATGATGATTTTAAACGAGACAGCTGATATTCTTGTTTCATCAACTTGTTTGCCAATAATTTACCTCGTTTAAGAAATTGTTCATACGTAGAGCATGCTCTTGCGTATCGAATCAACTGAGAGAGATATACCCCGTATGCAGGTGATGAAGGTATATTGCTGCATATGTAAGGGAAGTTGACGATTGAAAAGTTAAAGTCATCACGTTTATCATAAAGCTTGGTTGTTAGATTACCATTAACGTCTTTTTCAAGTAAAATATCCAAATATGAAACAGATGTGTCGGACTCTGTGGTATCTTTTATCTCAAGCTCACCAGGATATATCGTATCGACATAAGAATGAAAATAGCCATTGTTCATTGACAATACATCGTCGATATATCTAAATGTCGAGTTGAAGGCCACAGCAAGTGTTTTCTTCTTTTCACGTACAAGATTTTGGACAAATTCTGCTTCATATGAATACAAAAAAAAAATGTCTGCTAATAAAGGGGCGCAATTGGTACCCATGGGAATTCCAATAGATTGTTGGAAGACCTGGTCTCCAAAAATCACATAGATATTGTCAATCAGAAACTCAAGCATCTTTTTAATGTCAACTTCAGAGTACTTGTGTGTACAATCAGAATGTTTTTTAACAAAATAATTTTGCAAATGACCAATGACAAGGTAAGTATATTTACGAGTTCCATTTTTATTGAAAAAGCAGCTGTCAATTATATCAAAAAGCCTGGACTTTAATTTATCGTGGGGAATGGTTGTGTATAAAGTAGAAAAGTCTTAAGTTTTTAAGCTGTTGATTTTGGTAAAATCTTGCGATTTCAAATTTTCCATAAGTTCCTTGGAAATTTTAAGTATCCACATCTGATTTACACCACTTCTCGAATATATTGTTGCACAGTACTCTTGAAGTTTCTCCTTCACCACTGTTAATATCTTAGTGAGGAGTAAAGAAAGAGGCTTGGTTGAACATTTACTGGAACCCGCTATGTATCTTTGTTTGTAAGGATTTTTATGAAGTTTCGGAATCCAATACAAATATGGTAATTCAAATTCATTTTGGTTGTTTGGAATGTTAAAAATATTCAAAACTGACATATGATTTTGAAGAATTTCTTCCTTAGAAAGGGAACTACGAGTATAAGTTGGATTACCACTTGTAGAATTAAATCCAAGTTCCTCTAAAATACATTTAATATAATGTGCCTTACAAACAAAAACAATGTTGTTACCTGCTTTGTCAGCAGGGACCAGTACGTACTGATCATGTAATCTATCTAATTCTTTTTTCACTTCTGGATTATTGAATACAGAAGGATAGATGGTTCTCATATTGCCCCTCAATCTTTTAATGCGTGATTTTAACATACATCTGATACATTTAATCCATTCTGACAAAGTGTCAAGGTCTTCTTTTTCATGTCTGGCCCATCGCCTGGCGTAGTCCTCTACAGAATCCATAATATTTATGAAATTCTGACGCCAGTTGAAGGATCGGGGTTCCCTAAATTTAGGACCTTTTAAAATTAGTGATCTAAGGTCCTCATTATTAACTATATTAACGTCACAAGTAATAACGTGTGTAGCAGGACTATAGTTATAGGGCGAAGAAGAACATGAACACGATGGAGGATTATGTTTCAGATATTCGATATCCAGGCCTGTAAAGTTTTCTTGTAATTAAAAAGTTTGGAAGCAATAGTCGATGTATATTTGTAGGAAATACAAGGAGTAGTCTTTAACTTGAAATATGGTGGAATACAAGACTGGATCCTTTTGTAATTAAGAATATTACTTATATTAACCGCGTCAATTCCTTTGTTGGCATATTGAAGTTTAAGGAAAAAACGGATTGTTTTAGCTGCATTTTCTTCAGTAAAACGCGGGGGTTTAAAAAGCCTATGATTTGCAATATCCATAATCACAGATCCGAGCCTATATTCTGGTGTCGAGGAATCAAAAAATGGACTTTCCTTGACCTTTTCAAGAAGACTATTTAAAAGTTTCAAAAGGACAGAGTAAAGTTTGGTGCGAATATGATGTAGACCTAACTGTTGATTTACGTAAGGTAGTAATGAATCAAAAGAGACATCGTGTATAATGCATCAAGGGATAAACACTTCCAGACTTGCTTCAGATGCTTGATCTGACCTACATTTTCCTGAAGAATGACGCGAAAAACTTTTAGAGCATGTCCAGTCCAAGTCACTTTAAGACCTACCTAAGCCAAACGTGGACGGATAATGTATCTAAGGATGCTCACGACTATATGATAAGTTTAATGTTTGTTTGGTTTTCATGCTCCCGTACATAGTTTTTGCCCTGTCCGTCCGTCCGTCTAGCTGTCTGTGTGTTTGTCTGTTTGTCCGAAAAAACTTTAACATTGCCCATAACTTTTGATTGGTTGGAGCTATGGTTTTCATATTTCACATGTGAATTCCTTGTGACAAGACCTTTCTTTGGGTATCATTTAAATTTGACATTTTGAACTTGACCTTGGAGTTGAGCCCTGTTTTGCAATTTTTTTTTTCAAACTTTAAACTTAGCCATAACTTTTGAACAATTGGTGCTGAGGCTTTCATACTTCACATGTATAATCTTTGTGACAAGTCCTTCCTTTGATACCAACAACTTGGACCCTTTAACCTTGACCTAGCTAGGAGCTTGACATACTTTTGAAATACATTAACCTTGTCCATAACTTTTGAATGGTTGGTGTCAGGGCTTTCATACGTAACATATGTAATACTTGTGACAAGTCGTTCCTTTGGATAATACCAACAACTTTGACCCTTTGACCCTGGAGTTTGACATACTTATGGAAAACTTTAACCATGGCCATAACCTTTGAACAGTTGGTATTAGAGCTTTTATATTTTTAAATGTCTATTCCATGTGACAAGACCTTCCTTTAAATACCAACAAATGTAATCCATTGACCTTGACTTTAGAGTTTGACCTACTTTTGAAAAACTTTAACCTTGACCATAACTTTTGAACGACTGGTACCACGGCCTTTATATTTCATATGTGTATTTCTTGTGACGAGACCTTTTCTTGAACACCATAAATTATGACCATTTGACCTTGATTTTTTACTTAACTTTGAAAAACTTTAACCTTTACCATATCTATTCAATGGTTGCTGCTAGGACGTTCATATTTTACAGGTATATTTCTCGAGACAAGGTCTTACTTTGGGTACCACCATATTTGATTTGCATTTGAGAAAGTTTAACGTTTGCTATAAGCTGTCATACGGGGGCATCAGTGTTTCAAAATCACATCTTGTTATTCTTTATTTTATTAGTTTGCCATTATTAATTATTATTCGATTCAACAAAATTCAATGGATAGAAATCTTCTATGTTTTATGATGGCTAAAGCGCCGGCTCCCCATCTTTTAATCTTT